AATCTCAGAGAGCATATCTCGGTTTGGAGAAACAATTTCCAAGTTCAACTTGCTTCTATTCAAACTTTATAAAGTGAGGGGCGCTATGCAACGCACGTCGACTTATCTAGTCATGTCACACGACAGTAACGAACTCACACTCACCTTGAAAGATGATCGACCGAATCTGCGTGGCCCCGGAGAAGGACGGTCTGAAATTTTCTCCAAGATCCGATATGCTCTGAGCTACGTCATTAGCCGAGCAGGAGGGAAAATAGGATCTTCACTTTTGCGTGGTATGGTCCCTATTATTGTTAGCTTAGCATGCTAAGGTGTTCCTAGGTCGTGAACGGGAAGAAGTCACTGTCCACCCCCTCGGGGGTGCCAATATGAGTAGCACTGGCACAGGTCGTGGAGGTGTCACTAATCATCTAGGCCAGGTGTATAAAGGCCATGGAAGTGCGACACATGAAGGCCTTGTATGCTGCGATGCCTCGGTTATACCAACTGCATTGGGTGGGTACAGGTTCCCAAGGCTTGCTGCAATTGCTAACAACTTAGGCGTGAATCCTATGGCTACAATAACCGCGCTTGCCGAGCGATCTATCGATTTTATTGCCAAGAAGCGACAGTTCTCCATTGATACTGACACTCCAAACGGAAGACTCGACGTCTATTCGCAACCGATGGTATCAAGGAGGGTAGAGCATGGCTTTCAGAAGGCGGCTAAGGTGGATCAGACACCATTATCAATTGGGTGGCAGTTCTCCGAGGTCCTCGATGGACACATACATATGCAATCGTATGATTTGGGCTCTGACGCATGCGAAACACTGGGTCGCAGTTCGTCGTGCACCATGCGCATGTTTCTTACCATCGAGATTTGTCGAAGAATAGGTGAGTCTTCAGATGCAGAGCATGGCATGGTTCTCACAATGTTAGATACTTTTGGGTTACAGTATGAAGGCATATGCACCGGAACAGTGGCCTGTCGTGGACTATCCAGAGGTCCGATGAGAGTAGTCGATGGCAGGATTCGGTTTTTCGTTCCCTCAAACAAGCAAGCAGAGTCAACGGCTTTGAGGTACTCACTTCAGCTTCTTTCGCTTGAAGACATCAGGTACAACCTCGAAGGATACAAACAGATTGATTCTACCTCTGCTTTCTCCATTCGCAGAATGTGGGAGGCGACCACTAAGGTCAAGGTTCATATCACTCGAGATGACGGTATGAAAGTAGGCGCGGGTGTCCTCCGCATATCATGGCCATCTTTCTGGCGACAGATGAAAACTTTCCGGACAGTTGAATCTTTCAGGCTCGGGCTACTTCCAGCATTAGTCCTTTTCCTGGCCTACTTTGCTCTCCAGCTTGTCGTGGTATTCCTTCGACCTTTTGCGCCGGCTCGCAAGTCTCGCCGCTCCCATCATCCTCCCCCTGGTCCAAAAGAGCAGTCCTGCAATACAACAATGCTTAGAACAACGGATGGAGTCACTGTACGCTTACAAGAGTACGAGCCGTTGCCGAACACCAACGAGGCTATCAAAGGCGAATTCCTCGGGTCTCAACCAGTCTTATTCATCCCGGGAGTCACCGGTAATGCCACACATAGCACTTTTGCGCTTCCATATCTGCGATGCAACATGGTCGAGTATTCCACCGCACGCGGATGTCGATGCTACGTCCTCACTCCTCGCTGGGGCAGCGACGCCAAAACATCAGCGCAGTGCACTGTCTATGACTGCCGCCTCGATATCGCAGCGGCGTTGCAACATATTCTCCATGAGCAAAAGCAGAAGCCATACATAGTAGCCCACTGCCAAGGCTCCGTGGCACTCGCAATGGGTCTACTAGACGGCACCATCAAAGGTGGACACATAATCGGCATCACAGCCAACGCCGTATTCATGACGCAGGTCCTAGCCCACTGGAACTCACTGAAGGCCGCCACACCAGCCCTGATCCGGCTATACGAATTTATTTCTGGCACACACTACCCAATTGGGTCGCCCGACGGCAACAAACCCTTCCATAAAGTCCTGGACATTCTCCTCAGGTTTTACCCCGTCGAAAACCGCCGGGACATCTGCACCTCGACACATTGCCATCGTACCACGTTCGCGTTCGGCTTGTGCTGGAACCACAATAACCTCGACGCTAACATTCATGACAACGTTGGCCAATTCTTTGCAGATACGCATACCAAGCTCCTCGAGCATGTCACCCGCATGGGAACGCATGGAGCGTGCTTAGACAATGACCTGCGTCCGCTCCTCACCGATCGGAATCTTCGTAATCTGCAGGATATTCCAATCTTGTTTATGTCGGGTACGGTTAATGAGGTGTTCAAGCCCGAGTCGACTCTACGGGATTATGAGATGCTGCGACGTCGGTTCGGAGAGCATCTCTATCGTCGGTTCTTGGTTGAGGGATACGGGCATTTGGATCCGGTGATTGGGAAGAACGCAGCGGAGGATGTTTATTGGAGGGTGTTTGAGCATGTTAAGTGGTGTGCTTAGGGTCAGGGGGGTACGAAGTGAATTGATGGTGGTTGTTTGTGAGCTGGGTGGTGCGAACCTGTTGTTGTTGTGTGATGAGCGTTATATATTTTGGGACATCCGTTGAACCATCGTGATTTTACATTCCGCTTCGAAGGCTCCTATTAATAGTACCACTAGTATAGGCAATGGGTTCGCTACAAGATGATATGAATCAATTCTTTGGTTAAATCGAAGACTTTATCGAGGCAGGAAAAAAAGAAAAATAAAATAAAAAATAAAAAATAAAAACTCGTACTTGGACCCAGCCAGAAGGCTAACTTGAAAACAAGAAGAGACGGGAAGGTGACGGGAGGCCGAGAAAAAAAAGAAATTCGCTTGCATCATCCGTGAATCGAACACGGGCCTCATCGATGGCAACGATGAATTCTACCACTAGACCAATGATGCTAATTGTTATATTACGCTCAATATTTATGTTATAGCAAGAAAAAAAACAGTGAGATTCCCGCTCGTCCTTCCGTCGAACAAACGCGAACCTTAGATGTACACAACAACGCGTCCAACTTTCATCATCCCGGTTGCTAACTCGCGCAGTCTGCCTTCAAAGCCTCGGTGCTCATCATGGAGGGTAGGTAGATCAACCTATACCTTGGGCCTGCCATTAATTCTAATGTAATTCAAGACACAGTTAATAGACTGGACGATGCTTTCCGCCCACCTTCCCCTCTGCGGTCTCTCTTTGTCTCGGAAGAGACACCCCCTCCATCAGGAGAAGTTGACTGCCCGCTACTAGACGCAAAACTAAATGAAGCCATTGAGAGCTTACGGAATGGCGAGATTGCCTCGCTACATGACGCAGCAGTGCGCTACGCAGTCCCAGATTCACTTTTATATACCCGGTACTATCGGCAAGACCCCGAGTCAGTGGCCTGCACCTTTCGGAATCCCTACAACCTTAGTGAGGCAGATGGACCTAGAGTTTGTCATTATACTGTCCAATGGCTTCAATCAGGGTTTCCGACTTCGCCGCATCTTGCGCGAAGCTGGAAATGCTCTACAAACGAAAATGCGATTCCTTGGATCTGAACTTTAAACCCCTTGCTCAGGTCTGGGGTCGCCGATTTCTAGAATATCATCCCCAATTGAAGCAAACTATCGACTCATATGCTGAGGATCATAAGAGAACCAAGCAACCTCAACCCGATAAAATCTCCAGCTTTATTCATCTCTTCGAGAAGACAAGAAAGCAGTATGATATCCACCCAGACGATATCTGGAATGCTGATGAGGAGGGTTTCATGCTTGAGATTCCACAAGGCCGCACCCAGAAGACCATCATTTCCAAAAAGTCACTCCAACATAAAGCCAGTAGATTCCTCGCGCTCAGCGAAGACTGGGTCTCTACGATTGAGTGTTGCAATACGGGTGGCCGGGTACTTGCTCCTTATGTCATTTTTAAAGGGAATGCGGTCAAGTCTTCTTGGAAAAGAATGATCCCTGACAAAAAAGCACATGTGAGATGTGAAGAGAAAGGCTTCAGCAATGAGAAACATCAGTTGAAGTGGTTGACTAGAACGTTCATACCACAAACAGCGGTTTCTCAGAAGACTATCTCAACGTGGTACATCATCGAATCGAGCCACGCGTTTGCTCCTGCTAGATGGACACTCTTCTCCTATCTCATTTGAGCTTTTCCTCACCTGCTGGGAAAATCATATCATACCACTTTGCATCCCTCCAAGCACCTCGCATCTCCTGCATCCACTAGATGTTGGGACGCTCTCGAAATTCACCAATATCTACACTGATGAACTACGGGATGCCTTACTGACCGGAAACTTCCGCATAAGCAAGGATGCATTCGTTCCGCTGTGGTGGGTTTCTCGGCAGGATGCCATGGACCCGGCGAACATCTTCACGGGCTGGCGAAATTCAGGAATATGGCCTGTCAGCAAGGGAATTGTCTACAAACGGGCGGGATTCGACCTCCCAGAAGCTAGACATGTGCCTGATCGTACGCAGCTGGATGCCCCAATTACTGGAGAGGTGTTCAGTACTCTGCTGCGTCAGATGGATTCCAGCCCGCCAGAAACTGCGAATCAGCTACGCGAGTTCTTGATAAGTTGCTTTGAACAGCAATGCCGCACTGGCGAGTTACTCTAAGAGGCTCTGAGCGACATACAAGAACGTGCAAGTGGGCTGCAATAACGTCGATGGAGCAGACGCAGAGATTAACTACGAAGCGACGCACCGACGATGACTCCGCTGCACGTACAGCATCCAGACGAAATCGACTTTGTCCAATCATCAGCCCATGACCTTATCTTCTATTAATGAGCCGATTCGATCAAGTAGTCAGCTGATACGGTCTTTCAATGCACCAGAAAATGGCGCTTAGGCATGGAGCTCATACGGCTGCATTTTTACATGGAAGTTTGCCTTGTCCTATGGCACCTCGCAGTATCCTGGCAAGCTATGGCAATACGAAAACTAAATATTCTATCCATCACAACAATCCCAACATTACCACCAAGGCAGTCTCGTCATGGCATTTGGACCACAGACCTCATCTTTTCTACATAATATAACAAATTCGACAGAGCAAAGGGGAACTATAGTCCTAGCAGCTAGGAGCAAAGATAGAGAATGTTTTGCATCATGAAAAGTCGAAAAAGAAAATGATAAAAACATACAACAGAAGGGATTCGCTGGTGGTCACCCACCCAACTACTAACCTCCCGGCGTGTGGCTTAAGTACGGCTGAGCGGACGGGAAGCCCTGTTTTCCACACCCTGTGGTCGTATGTGCTAGTTCATACATCAACTATATTGATAAGGAGAATGTCATAAAAGGTTGGTATGAGTGTTCCGCTTCCTGGTGGCTCCCTATCGGCAACACCAGTTTGGCAGGGTGCTGCATAGTCTCGACTCATCTATATTCATATCTTAAGAGCACACCAGAATACATCTTTATGGCACTGTCCTGACATTAGGCAGTGTCTGGGCTGTCCGACGCGACTAAATCCCTTCTCCAACCATACACAATGCACGTCTAACAAAGATTGACGACTGGCAGTACCTATTCCTCCAACATCCTAGCGAGTTCCGCGCCCCATCCACTGATCTGTGCTTCCGTGTCAGCCATTATAAATGGTAGTAGAAATGGTGGAGTTGAACTTACCATCGAGGGCAACATCATGGAGAAATGGTTACCGTCGGCCCGAACCACCGTTATATCGTCCAGAACCTCGTTCCAGCCAAAACATCCGTCGTCAGTACGATCATTCAGAAACCAGTCCACGGCTTTCTCGTCTTCGGGCAGACATGCTGGGCGAGGCACTCCTTCCTGCTTGTCCGCACCCTCTTTCGCGGAGATTAGCACTACCTGCGGCATCTTTCGTCCCGGTAGCCTGCGCACTCGATATGATCGCATCTGCTGCCGGGCCAAGAAGAAGTGATCATTCGTCACCAATCGGCCTCGGCGGTTTGGTCGGAACTCACTTCCGTTCCCTACGCGCACCTACTCGATGGAATCCAGAAACTTGACCAGGGCATCGGGGAAGTAGCGGACGAATGTCGGATATGCAGTGTCGATCAAGAATAATTTCTCGACGTGGTTGCCGTCTTCAAGAAGTTGTCGTGCCGCCTCAAAGGCTAACACGCCACCAACGGAATACCCACCTAGTAGGTATGGACCTTCGGGCTGCCGGCGCTTGATTCGCCCGCGTAGATGGCAGCGAGTTCCTCAATGGTTAGCGGCTCATCCGGATCAGGCTTGCTGTGCATGAATGGACTATTGAGCGCGTAGACAGAAACGTTGTTAACGCTACCGAGCAACGGTCCCAGACCGCCGAACACGGTTCCAGACCCAAAACCGTCTGGGGCCAGGAACAGATTCCGTTTTCCAGACGCAGAAGTTCTTCGGTGCAAGAGCATAGAGGTTGCCTCGGCCAGGCATCGCCTCTCCGGTTCAGCTGTCATCCCGCAGATCACCCGGACAGTACGAGACTCACGACTGGAGCTTTCAGACCAGTCGACATGGACAAACCCAGCATTCTGTAGGGCACTTCTCCAGGTCCACGGGCTTTGCAATGCGTGTGTGCGGTCATCATCTAACTGCAACCACCCATCCAGCAAGCCCCAAACGAGTTCGTACCACGCTAGCTTTTGCGTTGGCTCTATCAGCGCCACGCATCCATCGTTGGGCCGCACCAACTTTCGCATATTCACTAGGCTGTTCTGCAGGTTGCGCGTCGCATGAACATAGCTGTTAGATATCACGACGTGGCAGCGTCCCAGCAGGTCCACGGGAGGGTCTTCCTCGATGTCATATTGGCGGAACTCCAATCCTTCGATGTCCTGTAATGTCGCTTTCGAACGCTCCAGAAGTGTCACAGAAGAATCAGACAATGTGTAAGTAAAACACAGGCCGCTGGCTTGAAGCTGTGGGAGGAGATGCCTGGCGGCGCTGCCGAATCCAGCGCCGATTTCGAGCACCCGAAAGGGTTCGCCGGATGTTCTAGCCTTCATGGCCGTGGAGGAAAAATCGCCAAGCACCCGGTTGGCCGCAAGAAGACCAGGATCGTTGGCATAGAAGCTCTCAAGAAGCTCCCTACCCTTATCGCTATCACATAGGATAGAGGTAGCCTCGGCCTTTCCGGTAAGGCACCCAGCCAGTTGCGGTCCGAGAAGATCCAGCATGTCATGTGCTGATGTGTACTGAGGATAATTCGATATGAGCTCAGTGCTCAGCTCCTTGGCTGATTTATCTTGTACGTGAGGCACGGGACCCCGTATAAAAGTACCACCGTGCTTCTCGACGAGGCCAGCTTCTTCCAGGATCTCCCATAACCGCGATACCTCTCTTTCATATTTCAACAGCGTGCCATGTAGTGGAAGGAGCGTTTCTCCTTGACTGAACTTCTTGAATGTGCATCCGAGTTTCTCGAAGGCTTCGAGGATGTACGCTGTCACAACGCTTAGTTGTCGTGGGTATACATTGTCCCAGAAGCCTGTCAGCTGGACCTCTCTTGCATGAGAATCAAAGCCGCGGCGAACTCTCTGGAAGACTGCATGGATTAGCTCTGCGTTATCCTTCGTTGGTATCTGGTTCATGTCCTCATCCTGAGTAGTTGAATGACCGTTTGGAGTTACCCCGTCACTCATCGCAGAATTGGTATTTTCTGATGGAGATACAGCAGCGGCCTGCGTTGGCACGCGTCCCGAAACATGCGCGATAAGATCACAGAAGGACTTCACATCTGTCAAAGAAGCAAAGTCGGTCGACGAGATAGTCAAATCCAGTGCCTCATTGATGTTGCTGGCTATCTCCGCAGCGATAAGCGAATCGGCGCCGAGCTCCTCAAGCTGGGAGCCCATCTGAATATCTGCCACAGGTACGTCGAGAGACCGACCAAGTATCTGGATAGCGGTCTTTTGCCAGTCAAGATTTTCATCTTTAGCAGTCTCTGAGACATGTTCTGGCCCCAGAAGAACTTCATCGTCCTGGCCTCCCGTATTGGTCGCGTCGCTGCCTACCCGGGCGGATATCAACTCACATAGGGAGGCAACGTCTGTAGCTGCAGCAAAATCATCGACAGAAATATCGATTTGAAGAGCATCATGGATACTAGCCAATATCTCTGAGCTGATTAGCGAGTCGACACCGAGCTCCTCGAGCGAGGCACCCTTGGTCACTTCTGCGACAGGAACATCAAGGGTCCGGCTTAGCGTCCCCTGTACTATTTTGAGCACATCTGGTGAACCTGTCTTGATTCCATTGGCCGTCCTAGAATTTGTGACAGGGTTTGATCCCGTTGGCTGCCCGGACCCAGGTGTTTCAGCAACTTGCGATGGGCCTGTGTGACCGTTGACCGTTGAATTGGGATCCGCGCCTGCCAGCAGCTTGGTTAACGTGCTGGTGGAGATCCCTGAAAATTTGATGTCTTTGGCAAACAAGACTATTTCCATCGTCTGCGCATCGAAGGCCAATACATCCAGTATAGCCTCGTTGGAGCTCTGCCGGACAATCTGCGCATATACCCTGTAATATCTGCCTTCAGGGAGCTTATTCAGAGAGCCCACAGACCCCAAGCTCATACAAATATAAGCCTTGCTGTCATCCTCGTCACCAAATATGTGTAAGCAATTGATATATGCACCCGGGACTTTGAGGAAGCTGTTCATCACAAGAGCATCAACAACGTTGTCGTTGGGCGTTCTAGCCACGGTATTGAGTTCATTCACCGGTATGGAGATGTCCGCTGCGCCCTCGGTGCCTTTTCCAACCAAATGCCGCAAGCCGCGGTAAGCAGCTGCGTGCTTCACCATATTACCGAACACTTTATATACCATTGCACCGCGCAAAGCGTCCGTGTCCGGATCATTATCGAGTAGGTTTATCATGCGGGTCCACTTGTCTTTCATTTCTTGTTCTTCCTCAGCCTTTCCACTGCTGTTGTCTCTGAGTGAGATGCTGCCAATAGCGTGCAAGATTGACCTTTCATTCTTGGTGGAGGTGAACTCAAAACCCCACGTGTACGATTACTTGTTTGTCAATGTCAACTTCACGGAGCGCTGCGTATCCAAGCTCAAGGGGGCCTTGAAATGTATGTCGTCTACCACTATGCTGGACGTTATGTTATTGTTCAGTAATAGGGCAACAGCATGTGCAGCCAGCTCCAGATATACTGTGCTGGACATATCGCGGTCCCGACCACGACGTGGCCCTTGACGAGGTCTTGATAGCGCCTACTGTGCATGTCGATAGTGAAAACCGACTCGCCCGCCTTCTGGGTGTGAGACTTGTCTTGCTTTATAAACGGACGATCAGCGGCATCTCTCTGACAATGAGGACAAACAGCAGGATGTTCTGGCTCGTTCTCGCCATTCTTCTTATCTCTGTCACCAGACAGACCGTGGTAGTCCAGCCAGTGCTTGTGCTTTTCGAAATGATAGGGTGGCATGGCCACAGGCCGATAGCTTGTCCGCTGACATTGGTGGAAAAGCCAATATTGCACGTTTGTCTGCCCGGTCTTCCACAGCGTGACCGTGGCATCGGCCAGTGATCGCACAAGATCCCTCCCATTGATGCTCAGGAAGGTGTGATTCCCTTGAGCCGGGGCCTGTGGCAACGCGCTCCGTGCCATCGCGACTATGGGGCCATTTACGCCGGCTTCCAGGAATGTACACGCACCCAGACGGTCGACTATACGTGACATCGCTTGGCCAAAGTATACAGGCTGACGGGTGTTGCGGGCGACCACGTTAGGTCCAGGACCCGTCCAAACGGTTTCGTGGCAGGATTCGAAGGGGAACCTTGGCTCCTGCTCAGGAGTATTGGGTAAGCGATTGTTGAGCCCAGGTATTATTTCATAAACTTACCTGAAACTGTATCGAAGCCGATATCTTGGCGCACTCATTGACGATCGTGTCCGCCATGCTGGAATGATACGCATACATGCCTCTTAAAACCTTGAACCGGATCTTCTCGCCGCTGGCTTTCTTCTCGACTAGATATGATTCAAGGTAGTCGATGTATTTGGTGGGACCAGCAACAACATAATTGTTGGGCCCATTGTAACACGCTATATCCAGCTTTATGTCTGGGTAAATCTTGTAAAACGGCTCTAAGTGCCTTTCTGGGGTTGTGTTAGTACCGACGAGGTCAGCCTCGATTGCTACCATGGACCCGGGGTCCTCGCCCCAGAGCTCCTGGATAATGGCTGCACGGCCTACGTGTTGTTAACAAGTCTCAGTATAAAGAGTCGGGTGAGTTTCAGCTTACTGATATAGAGTTATGTCAGCGAAAGCCATGAGCCGGAAAATATTGTTCAGCATAGGGTCTGCGGATCCAAAGACGCAGTGAGGAAAACGTACCCAGATACAATTTTTATGCCTGATTCGAGTGTTATGGCTCCTGAAATTGCGAGTGCAGCCCACTCGCCGAAGGAGGGGCCGCAAAGAGCCTGGGGCTTTACCCCAGAGTCAATCCATGACATTCCGCACGAGTACTGAATCGCGAACATGCTAATGTGCCGGAGGATGAGATCAGCTCCGCCTTGGATTCCCTGAAGGATAATTGGGAAAAGACTGGGGAGCCCAAGCGACTGCATCACATCCTCGCACCGGTGCAAATGCGCTCGGAACAGCAGGCTACTCTCATATAGTGGTCCGGCTGAAGGTACAGTATCGCCATTCTGTCCACTGAAAAGATGCACGACAGGCTTTGGTTTTGGTGAGGGGACAATATGCTTCTCTGGGTCGGATAGCTGGGATTGTATATCGCTCACTGCATTGAGTACAGGCGTCAGCTGTTAACCTCTAGAAAGCATTCGAAGAATTAGGTATGTATGTCTCTTACATGAAGTCCCTGATGTACAGAAGAGATGTCGGAGCTGACGGTTCTGCCTCGTCGCCAAAGCAAGAGACAGGTGAGGGAACAACTCAGGAGCAGGTGATTCTTCGATAATCTTGCGACTCAATGTATTGCAGTACGCCAATAGGCTGGCACGTGAAGCAGCGGAAATGAAAACAGGCCAGGTAGAGGCAGATGGGATCGTTGGCGATGCCAAAGATTGCTGACGAGGCGGCGGCGCAACAACAGCGCTAGCATTATTGCCCGAAGCACCGTAATTATTGACCACGGCCAGGCGCTTATTATCGCGCCATTCACTCGGAGACGTCGGGATAGCCATTCGATCAGGCTCAAGGGCCGGAATATTTGGGTTCAATGCATGTAGTTCAGCCTGCCCCAAAATCTTGCCGTGTTTCATCATGAGCAGCACCTTGATCAAAGATACCACGCCCGAAGCTCCTTCAGCATGGCTCACGTTGGCCTTGACCGCACCAATATTCAAGATTGATGGTCTGTCCTTTCCACCGAATACCTCCCGAATACCCTGGGTTTCGACAGGATCGCCGGCGCGCGTGCCCGTTCCGTGAGCTTCGACATAGGAGACATCTGCTGGCTTGACTCCAGCGCGTCCCAGCACATCTTTGTATAAAGCCACCTGGCTCGCCAAAACAGGGTTGGTGATGCCGGTGTTGTTGATGTTTTGGTTGTTACCGGTGGATAGTAGCACACCTTGAATGTTGTCCCCATCTTGTAAGGCCCGTGCCAAAGGTTTCAAGATGACAACGCCAACACCCTCCCCACGGCAATACCCATCAGCCCGCGAATCGAAGGCCTTGCAGGTTCCTGTGTCGTTGATGAACCCGCTGGCACGCAGCGCGTCAGAGCTTTCCATGTTCAAAAGTAGATGGACACCACCCGCGACGGCCTGCGTGCACTCACCAACCTGAATAGCACGGCAGGCTTGGTGGATAGCAACCATAGCAGATGAACAAGCCGTATCAATAGTATGTGAGGGTCCTGTCCAGCCAAAATAATGACTCAATCGGCCAGCCACAAATGATCGCATCATGCCCAGTCCTGTGTAAGGTAAGTGGGGATTGCTCGCCAAATGTAAGATGTGGTCAGGAGCGCTCATTCCGACAAAGAAGCCAGTTGTTTGGCTACCTGGGTCGTGAGTTTCTCCCTGTTGCTGGCACGGTCCAAAGTAACCCGCCGATTCGAGTGCGTGGTATGCAGTTTCAAGGAGCACTCGCTGGTGCGGGTCTGAAGCAGCGGCTTCCCGCTTGGATCTCTGGAAGAATTGATGATCGAATGAGTCGATATCAGACATAAAGCTTCCCCACATATTGCCATCGCGGACCACGCCGGGGAACCGCTTCTCGTCTACCTCGCGCACTATACTCTTGCCCTCCAGGATGGCCTGCCAGAGATCATTCTCCGTATTCCCAGCAGCTGTACGACAAGCCATGCCTATCACCGCAATTGCATGCTCGGGGTAGTCCTTGTAATCCATAGTGGTGGGTTGATATGCTTGTTTGCGGGGAGTGATGTATTTGAGCATAGGGTGTCGTACGGGCTCGTCGGCCTCGAGTTCCAACACCCGCACTACCGCTGCGTGATCGGTTTTGAAACTGGCTATGTGGTCCCACGCCAAAAATGCCTCATCTGGACTGATGTCTGCGATTCCCCTCGATATAGAGGCCTTGTTGAGCCTTCGCATTGCTGACTTGCTCTGATCCCAGACGCCTGTTCCCTGCCAGCCAGTCCATAAGATAGCCATGCTGTTATCACCCTGGCGCCTTCGGTGGGCTGCCAGTGCGTCTAGGAAGGCAATGGAGGGCGCGTATGCCAACTGTCCTGGGAATCCGACAAGCTGTCCAACTGAAGAAGTAAATACAAAAAAGTCCAGAGTGCCGGGTGGGAAGAGTGAGTCGAGATCCAGGCTGCCGATCACTTTCGGCGCTAAGTTGTCTGCAATATCGGTAGGAGTGCATCGCGTCAGCGTATGGTAACCTGCGGTACCGGCTGCGTGAATGACTCCCTTTATCGGTGGAATACCCAGGTCGTTGATGGCTTGGTTTAGTGTCACATCAGCGTTGGGCTTGCTGATATCAACAGCCAGCACATGTACCGAAACGCCCACAGCCTTGAGCTTGGCAATACGGGAGCTTGGGTCCGCGCTATTTGCCTCAACTGGCTTGCTGTCACTGCTTGGTGGAAGGCCACGGCGGGACACAAGTACTATGTTCTGGGCGCCTCGCTGCGCCAGCCAAGTTGCTGTTGCCAGGCCTATACCTCCGGTGCCTCCCGTGATCAGGTAGGAGCTGTTTGCATGTAGCTGAAGTCCCTTCTTATCACTGGGCTCATCCGTAAAGGGTTGAAGATAAGCGACCCGTGCTTCGCCTTCGCAGACTCTGACCACATCGAAACCCTGTGCGTACTTCACTGCGGACAACGGAAAGAACCCGCGGTCGTCCTCGAACAGGCCGCCAAAAACCTCTGGGATTTCAGTCTTCAACATCCGCGACAGGCCATGCAGTGGAGCGTATACGAGGTCGCTTATGCCCCAGTCCTTTGGAACGATGGAGAAAAGCTTGACTGTCTCGCTCTTAGCGGAAATGATGCGATGATAGAGCTGTTGTGTAACGTTGATCAAGCTGGCGCATGCTTGAGTTGCGGCCGCGTATATCTCTTCCTTACTCTTGACCGTGGGTGGGATATAAACGACAATAGTCCCGGGGGTTATCAAGGGGTCAATTTTCATTGCATCACCGGTAACGACAGTGGTGATACTCTCGTTAGTAAGCTGCGTCTGGTACGCAGAAAGGCTTCCACTCTCCTTGTCTGTGACCACGAACACCACGTTTGCAATGCTCAACGGCTCTTGGGATAGTGTGGCGGGTGACCATGTAAGCCTGTGAATCAACTCGGTATTGGCCATGATTGGTTATTCTATCAACAGGGTTGCTTTCTAACGAATAAATGAAGATAATAAGTATGTTCACAACATTCCAAGAAGGTAGGCACTATATTTCATCAAGTAATGAATCAGATTGGAAAGTCTATGTATGTACTGACACGGCATAGGAAAATTTCAAATAAACTGATAATGGCATTGCAACTCGAGTATTTATCTAAGGCACTGATGCCCACCCCCTGAGCATTTCTACAGTCAAGTTGCGTTCGCGATAGAGTTTCCGGCCTGAAAAATACACTACACGGCCATGATCAACATGCCGAAAGGGCAAGCATAGAACGCCCGCTTCTGCTGAAGATAAGCATCCTCGATACATCTATTCTGACGTGAGTCTTATTTAATTTCATTCAGCCTGCGGGGAGACGGAAATGGAAGCCCTTTGAGTTTGCTCATAAAGTCAATTATTTTGGAAGCTCCTGTATGCTCTCATCCTGGCCAACTACTTACGGCAGACCTATGAGGTGCTGAATATTGCCAGAGACAATCTAATTTCAGCTGAGCCATTTTATATAGACTTCCAGATCGACGTACCTAATGGGGAAGGTCACAACTTATAAGTCATAATTCAGCTACGCCAATGGGAAACAAAGATATCAACTGCGACAGGGCTGACTTGCTTGGTTGGCTGCACAGCAGAAAGGCCGCCGGCATTCAATGCCCTTGTGACACCCCTGGAGGCCTTAAAGATTGGTAGGTCCACCCCGAAAGTCGAATATCGCCGCGGATGATGTGAGAATTGAAGAGATTCGAATTCCTGGAAACTGTTTGTGTAAGGATTCCCTTACCTTGTGTTGCCAATCCCAAAGCCCTAAGACTAAGATCCGTGAAAAACGATACGTGACACTGCAGGATTATCTGGAGGCCAATGGCTCGCGCTGGATGCTGTGAACCTAAAAGGCCCAAGTTACAAGTCAACATACGGCTTTCAAGATACGTACTAGACCATCTGATTGTGTTTTCGATGGACATAGGATCGTAGGTTCCAACTGCTACCAGTTTATCCCAATCTTCATTACTGTAGCGCTTTGCACCCCTCACCCCTCTTTTGCAGTATAGCTCTCATCATGTATTGGTATATTTTATCATTGTGGTCACACAGCACATGTCGTTCATTCCCAGGTCGTGTAACATGGGTATATTTTCTACCATAGCCCCTTGCTTTGACTTTCTTCAGAACAGTAGAGTAAGCCCGCGAACAAGGTCCCTGCCGGGGTGGAAAGATAAGATTTTTCCAGTGGCCAGTCAGCTATCGGTATCCCACTTTCCCATAGATGATGTTCGCTAGTTGAGGGATTAAATAGGAGGTGGATCCTAATTAGGCCCCCGAATCCACAGCTCTTTCAAATCCGGAATTCAATGAAGTACTTACCGGCATATCCCACGATGAGCATGAAGTGCTAGATATAGGTGGTTCCAGATAGGGTTGCACTATCTGGCCAGTTATGATAAGCACGTGTAAGATTGGACCAGCTTCCCAATTCACTAGCATACGCTTCCATCGCGTACATATGAATGGCCTGGCCTGTAATTCATACATTTGCACTCGTCTTAATAGTAAAAGGTGATGGTTCTGCATGCGTTTTGACTATACGCTTATAACCGCAGATCCAGGTGGATGTAGTGAGGATGTGCTTGGACTAATGGGGATGGAAGACTCCGGACGAAACGCCATCTTAGATGACGTAACACTCACTGTTTAGTCAGTCTATCAAACCATTCACATAAGCCGAGGTCGACTTTTAGGAGCTGTGTCGATGATGCTGACGTATGACGTTTGCTGGAAGACCACCTGCCATGAGTTCCGACTGGAGTGAACTAAGACTTGAGACCAGGGGCAGGGAGGGTTGGTGTGTCAATAGTACTGCCACGAGAGCAAGCCGGAAGGAAATAATGGTGTGTAGATCCTACCTAGGGGATTGATAGTTCCCTAGTAGCGTCTATTGTGTCCTTACATGTATAGGGTGAGTTCGGGGAACAGTGCGGGATAAGCCGGTCGGCGGAAAAGGGTTCCGAGCAGCAGTCACGAGATTGCGGTTCCGGCCCCGCTGCCTGAGGCTGCTCGGCAAACAGGCCAAACAATCCCCGAATTCCCCCCAACATCTTCAGCTTCACAACTTCTTTCTCAGCTCTTCTCTCGCTGCTGCCTCTTCATCCTTTCATCCCCGTCCTTCTTCATCATCCCCCCTTGCTCATTCTCATGCACTTTGGCCCACTCCCCTAACCTTGGCCTCCGACTGTCTCCCCAGTCGATCTGCCGTCCACACCGCATCGATTCCCCCGCTCCTGTCCGCCTCCGAATGACCATGTGCAGACAATGAGTTTCTTTGCTCAATTCACCAACCTACCCGCGATCGCCACCGGAAAGGCCCTTCTTTTGCTTGACTTCCAGAATGACTTTGTACGACCGAATGGCGCGTTGCACGTCTCCAACACCGCCGATTTTCTCGATCTCTTGCCTCAGCTTGCGACCGCCTTTCGGCGCAATGGTGAGGTGGTGTGGGTGCGTTCTCATTACCAAGAAAGACAGCCCTTGATCAGCCCGACAGACGCACAGGACCTCATCGTGCTCGGTCGCATGGACCGAGAGACCAGAACGCAGACTCCTGACGAAGATGCATTCGCTCCCTCCGCCGCCGATCGTGCCGGACCCGTTGATGAAGAAGCCTTCCTCTCTACCGACTCTCCACGATGCTGTGTTCCCCAATCGACTGGCACACAGTTTCCGGCCCCAATCCTGGCTGCCATTGACAACGAGGCGGATATGTTGGTCGACAAGTTTGAATACTCCGCCCTGCAGGATGAAGGCCTAATTCTGTACTTCCGCACGAGATTTATCACCCAATTATATCTCTGTGGGTCGCTGTCCAACACTTCTGTCTACGCTACAGCCCTTGATGCCGTGCGCCATGGTTTCACTGTAACACTCATCGAAGACTGTCTCGGGTTCCGCAGTTTTACGCGCCATGAGGAGTCGATGCGCCGTATGGCTGACATCTTCGGAGCCAATGGTATTACAACTCAGGAATTATTTCAAGAGCTGGACTGGGAGGAGACAGACGAGATTGCGCGCAAAGGAAGCCCGCGCCCGTTGCAGTCAGTTACTCCCGCTGGTATCGAAAATGTTTTGGATGAACTAGAGGTGAGACCGAGCGCCTCCCCCACGACGAAGGAGGAGAGCCCAGAATCAGGATCAAGCGGCGGCCGACGCCGCAGGATTGATGATATTTTGGCGGAGTTCACCGATAACGAGGATGGAGACCTGAAAGAGCTAGCTTCCTTGACTCGTTCACGTGCTCGATATGGGGCTTCAGCTCGTGGAGCGACGCCCGGTGGGTCGGGGGAGAAGAAGGTTCGCGCTCGAGTGCGACGTTCAAAACGGCCAGATGCAAAGACAGAATCTGCGTCTCGGTCGGACAAACGACGCAGCGGCAAGTCCAAGAAAACCGATATATACCGACCGGGCGACGTGATCGGAGAGGGAGATTCCCGTATCATCTATGATCTTGATTTACCAACCGAGGCCTTCGAGAAGATCCGCGAGGAGGTGTCATGGCAGAAGATGTATCATCTGTCAGGCCAGGTGCCCCGTTTAGTAGCGGTGCAAGGCAAAGCATTAGAGGACGGATCGATACCTATTTATCGCCATCCGGCTGATGAGTCGCCACCACTGCAACCCTTCACGGCCACAGTGAACAAGGTCCGCGCGATTGTGGAGCGCATTCTTGGGCACCCGTTGAACCATGCGCTCATTCAGCTCTACCGGGATGGGCAAGACCGAATTTCCGAGCATTCCGACAAGACCCTTGATATCGTCCGAGGTTCCTCAATCTGCAATGTTAGTCTCGGTGCTCAGCGAGTCATGGTTCTCCGCACCAAGGGCGCCGCAGAAGGTGGAGAGTCGGGCCGACAGACACAACGTATCCCCATGCCCCACGAATCGCTGTTCATCCTTGGAGATGAGACAAACCGGCGGTGGCTTCACGGCATCCGACCGGACAAGCGGCCGGAAACGGAGAAGTCGATGGAAGAGCGCGCTTACGAGGGGCAGCGCATTTCCCTGACCTTCCGTCACATTGGCACGTTCCTTAACCCAGCCGGCGACACCATTTGGGGCCAGGGCGCAGTGTCAAAGTCACAGGAGCAGGCACAGCCAGTAATTCATGGAGATGCAAGCGAGACGGAGCGCATCATCCGGGCATTTGGAGAAGAGAACCACGCGACAGAGTTCGATTGGGAGCAGGTGTATGGAGGCGGTTTTGACGTGGTCAATTTTGTCACGGCGGGTACAACCAAACTCATCCTTGGACCGGATGCAGTGGCTAATCTGCGGGTGCGACTGTGCCTGAGCGAGAATGGAATTCGCTACGAAACCGAGTCAATGCCTGCGCGCGCCCCAGAAAACGACATACGGCCACTTTATATTGCCGCTGACGGAACCCAAATAGCTGGTGACGTCACCGTCTTGACCCACTTTGCGCAGCACGCCGCAGAGCTAGTGCGACCAGAGCTTGATGCCCTACGCGGGGGAAGTCATCTGGCGGCAATCGACGACCTGCTGGCCGGTTGGCGCGACTCACAACGCCAGGGAACTGGCGAGTTCGATTTGACGCGGTGGGAACAGGCCCTGACCGGGCAGACTTACCTGGGCGGCGCTGGGTTCAGCATTGATGACTGCGCGCTGTGGCCCGTTCTGAGGGAAATTGCGCGGTCGACAGCACTGCTCTCGGACAAGCGCTACCCAAACCTAGGCCAGTACTATCAGCGGGTGGAGAAGCGCGGGCTGGTCAAGGCGGCGTTGGAGGAGATGGAGTGAGCATGGGCAGCGGATGGTGGCCTTATGAGACACGACTAATGAGCTGCTTTTCTTTTGCACGATACCATCTACAAGTATAATTAATCAAATGTTGGCAGTGGAATGGGATCCTCTGCAGATTCCGGTGGGCATTTGTTCGATACCTATTACATGGCGCAGTTGAGTGAGTATCATGTTGATGTAAATAATATAATATGGGTAATTCTACACTAGCTATCTAAACCGCGGAGAGACCAACTCATGAGCCAGGATAGTAAGTGTGCTGCTTTAGACCATCAAGCTAGCTCATGATATCTCCCAGTAACCGTCTCACAAGCCTTTGACGGTATACGAGAGGGACAGCAAAGGCAGAACCTTCAGCTAGGCGGGAGTTGCTCTAAGTATCACAATCAAGAAGAAAAAGGTATTCTCATCAGTTCGTTCACAAAGTCCAGCAACGGGAGAATAACCCTAGGATAAGCCATGCCTGGTCCTACCAGTCATTCAAGACTCTGCTGTCTCTGTTTTATCAACGTCATCTAGTTCTGCGAATACTCCGTCCAAGAGTATCTCTGGGACAATAACTAATCGCTGGGAGAGGTTCCCAAGGGCACGAAAATGGTAGATGGACGAGCGATTCTCTAACATAATCTTCTCGATTGGGGGGAACGGGCCTTTGCAGTGTTCCTCATGGATTCCACAGAGGGAGAATACTCGAGTGAAGGCATCTGTATTAGCAAGTGCCAAGACTGCTTTAACAGCTATGAAGAGTGACTGATATGGGCTGTCGATGTAGTCGCGATCGGCCTCTGGGTGAGTAAAGTCGAACTTGATGCCGTACACCTTCATCTGGGGTCGCTATGTCAGCTTATGGTGATAGGGTAGAGTTCAATAAGAGGCAAGACAATGGTGAGGAGTAGGATACCAGCGGTGTCTCATGACGAAGCGTGGTCTGTATGCCCTTCGAGTAGAGGGTTTGGTCAATCAAATTATCAATGATGTTACCTAATAGGGGGTCGTCGTAATTGATGTTGGTTGACATTCTGGGTGGGGATTGAAGAGGGGAGAGATAGCATGGAGGGAGGCATAGGCATCCAGCTACCAGAGCTTCACGGGGTGCTCGTGTAAGGAAAAGTGGTATTTAGGTCTACTTTTTTTCCCATATGGAAATGAAGAAGGAGCACACTCACTTCCGAGATAGGATGTGGAAGGTGCCATACTCCATGATAATGGTAGGCTGCGTGATCTGATGTGCCTCGACAGCGACTGTTGGCAGCCTTCTGCATATTACAGTTGATGGGGATCTATACATGATAGAGTGGATATTCTTAACCTGTATTTTAACCGTTTGGCTGGATACAGGTTAAAATATAGAGGTCAGGTATAGATATTATAGATTAATAAAAACATATGAGGTATTATTATTATGTAATTTATATATATAAGTTATCTATTT